GTACATCGATGAGAATGCCGAGGAGAAGGAGCAGGAGTATCCGGATTCGATGGAAAAGGCGGATTATGGATCCCTATATGATGCCAATCAATATTACAACAGGTATTTAATTCGTGCGATAAATCTGTAGTCTGCCAATAAAATAATGATTTTATTTAAAAAAATGATTGCGATAAAACAGATAATATTTTACTTGCCGGAGGAATGTATTTTGAGCATTAGATAAAACATAAGTACTTTTCAAAATAAAATTAGTATCATTATTCAATCATTGGACTGCAATTACAATTTATGTAATTAATTTGATTTGTGCACAGACAACTTTTCATCGGCGCAAAAATTTATTTTTCTATTTGCCCCTTTTTCATCTCTAGTCTATACAATCCGCCGCCTTACGGATCGACGACAGTTTCGAAAAATGCGAGCTTGCAGAGCACGTACCTAAACTCTTACACATCGTCGAGCTCGATGACGCAGTACACACCTTATGCCGGTTACAACAGCGGGACGACAACATTCCCGAACGTCGCGCAAAATATATCATCGGCTACTCAGGTGACATTTTATTTCCATAATTTCCTCTGATGTGACATTCTCTCTTTCATAAATTAGATATTCTCTCTTTCAGAAATTAGACTATAGCGCTTACAGCAGTAGTTTGTACGGAAACGACAGGGTACCGCTTCAGTATTCCGGATATTATCCTGTACCCGGTTACCACGCACCGCCGGCCTCTTTCAACATCGGCAACATCAACTTTGCTGGTAAGTTCTTTTATTAAATCACGCGCTTTCTCTTACTTCCTCTTTCTCTCTATCTCTCGTAAATGAAATTTCCTGCAAGGAATAAATAAAATACGATGTTTGCATAAATTGTTGTTAAAAAATGATATGAGTATGTGTGTGTGTACGTATGGTATAAACCAGTAAAAATAAAATTTTCATATATAAGTCGCTTATTCGAGGGATAAGTTCACACTTTTAAATGATTCATATTAACGTGCCATATTAGCTTCGTAATATTTCGAATCTGTATATTTCCGTCGCTTTGAAAATAAACAACACAACCGCGCACATTTAATTTTTCCTTATGTCGAATAATTGCAATTAACTATAATCATTTCGCAAGAAGATTCAACAAAGTCCGCGCTCACGGTGGACCCGACGACGCACGATGCAAGCGATTTAACCGCACGGGAAACGGCAAATATCGAAGGTAACATCACCGATTCGTATCTCTTGTTTTGTTTTAATACGTATTTTGTATAGTTTTCTAAATATTTTAGTCACGGATCTAGCCATTTCAACTGGACCTGAATTTTTGTATTGTCTTTGTGTTTCTGAAATACACAATGAAAGGAACATTTATTTTATATTCATTTATTTATACACTATATCTATTTATACACGCAGTTATCATTCTGATAACACAGCTGATCTAGTAGGATTATATTGATTGATGGATGGATACATGTATACATTAATCAAATTAATGTGCATACTATTGCATTTTTCTTATCTAAAAAGAGACAATAGAAAAAAGACACAATGGATATTTGCAACAATTCTAACTAAAAAAAAAAACATTGTTACAATATTTTTGAAAGAATATTGTGTGTGAGATAACATTCGCTTCTATATTTAGAGAAAGAAAATAGTAGAATAATATATTTACTTTGTTCTCATATAATGAGATTAAAGAATATGAATATCTCGATGAGCAAATGACATTTTCACAAATGTTCTTGCTTTTGCAGTGGCGACGACGAAGCCGTGTAGGCGCGGAAGGAGACAGAGCGGAAGCGGAAACAGTATCGGTTCCGCGGACACGACGGAAGCCGGCCCCGAGCGTATATTCATTTGGGACCTGGACGAAACCATAGTTGTGTTTCACTCTCTGCTGACCGGGCAATTCGCCTCGAAGCACCGTAAGGATCCGCTCCTCCTATCCCAAGCGGCATACAGAATGGAGGAGATGATATTCAATTTGGCAGATACGCACTTTTTCTTCAATGATGTCGAGGTGATAAAATCTTTCTGTCACACATAATTAATCTAATAACTATAATTATGTATAATATTTTGTACACACATATACATGTATAATATATATATAATATGTTGGAAATAAAAAATACCTGAGCAACTCTTCTAGACATATAAGAAAATATATACAAAATGTGTATATGATTTTCCTGTATGAATATTTAATTAATACATTACGAGTATTTAATCTAATAACTATAATTATGTATAATATTTTGTATGCTATTTCTTAGGATTTCTCGACAAGATATACAGAATGTGTTACTTATCTTTGCTATTCATAAATGATAGTCTTAGTACCTGGTTTGCGAATATGGCCTGTGTTGTAATTTTATAAAAGCTCTCCAGCATCTACATTTTTTTCTCCGTAGGATTGCGATCAAGTGCACATAGATGACGTATCGTCGGACGATAACGGGCAGGATTTGTCCTCCTATAACTTCGCGACTGACGGCTTCCAGTGCGCGACCGCGAACAATGGGATATGCCTGGCATCCGGCGTACGAGGCGGCGTCGACTGGATGAGGAAGCTTGCATTTCGCTATCGCATAATTAAAGAGATCTATTCCAAATATCGCAACAACGTGGGCGGTTTATTAGGCACGGCCAAGCGCGAACAGTGGCTGCAGTTGCGTTCCGAGATCGAGGTTCTGACCGATAAATGGTTGACGTCGGCCGTCGAGTGTCTCAACATCATCAATAAGAGAGATCACTGCATCAACATCCTGGTAACGACCACGCAGCTGGTGCCCGCGCTTTCCAAAGTCTTGCTATTCGGCATTGGCGGGATATTCCCCGTTGAAAATATATATTCGGCCTCTAAAATCGGTAATTACATATATCAAACAAAGAAATAATTAAATAATTAATCACTATACATATACATATATATTTCGCTCTTTTCACAAACAAACTAGAAATTTGACAATTCTTTTTTTTTCATTGTTACTTTTGGAGAATGATAGCAAAGTTATTTTTTACCGTTTTAGGAAAGGAGAGCTGTTTCGGTAGAGTGGTCGCCCGATTTGGACGTAGATGTACGTACGTGGTGATAGGTGACGATTCAGACGAGGAGACGGCAGCGCGAGCGCATAACTTTCCCTTCTGGAGAATAAATAGCCATTCGGATACTCAAGCCCTGTACAATGCCTTAAAAATGGGGTTCCTTTAATCAAAATAAAAATACATATATATGAAGAGAGAATACACAAGATCAGGAAGCGGGGTTTCGGTTATACGGAAGATTACATTGCGTCTAAGCAAGAAAAACCAGCGATGAAATCATGTTTAACTGTATTTCTTCTTCTCCCTCTTTCTTTAAAACAGTTTTTATCATTTCTATAACTTATCGTGTGTAATATATACGTAAAAGGAAGCTAAACGCCTCCATGTCATGGCTATATTCGCCGATATCGAAATATTTCACAAGCTCGATAGGACGTCGACACGTTCGCAAGTGATATAGAATGAAAGTAAGATTTTTAGTGATAACGAGCAAAAAAATTCAGAAAAAAGTTCGAATACATAAAAACTTATGTACAAGATTCTTGCAGACTTTTGGCTTTAGCGTCGGCTCTGTAGTCGCACATGTACTGTATAAACTAAAACGAAATCTGCGAAAAGTATACATATACCCTTCTTTTATGTACTTAATTACATTACATCTGAATCCTTTTATTTTTGCAATGACGACGAAATCAAACAATTTTTACTAATGTACGATAATAGATTTTATCAGAAACCAATGAGTTTTCATTACGACTTGTTCACTACCGATATTATTTTTCATGTGAATTAATAGTTTAGTTATTGTTTGCTTAATAATTGTTACGATACTTTTACGCGTAAGACTTTTACAAAGAGTTAATTTAACGGTTCGATACATTTCCACTTTTATCTTCATGTACACATAGTAACAAATGTATTCGTATTCGTATCACGTTCATAATTTTTACATTCCTTTAGTCTGTATGTATGCAGATATAACTATAAGCAACATTATTTATGTATATTTTGAAAGTATCCATATCAATTAAACATTACTACATGCTCTTTACTGGATATAAATGCACACATGCTCTAGGAAAAGTTATTTATATATTTGTAAAAATATTATATAGTTATTATCGCGTATTTTGAACTTGTACAAGGCTATTTGACAAACAGAAAAATGCATTAATTAATATAATAAAAGAAGAAACGAATTAGTATAGTTACTAATTACGGTTGATATCGTTATGTGTAAAAACAGTTTATAAAAATTTCTGAATATATATCGTATTATTCGTTAACAAAGCTATTAATAAAAATATAATTAAAAATATGAAATAGCGTTTATGTTCCAAAAAATGCAAAATTAAGGTTTATTAAAAAATTACTTATTTATAAATTTAAAAATTATATCTCACAAGTCTATATTTTTTTAAATTATATGATATTAATTTAATATCAGCTTTCTATTTTGGAGATAAATATAGGATTCTCTATTTGAAATATATATATACTTGTTTCAAAAATGCTTTTTATTAGGAAAAACATTTTATTTCCCCTATATTATTATATATAATTTCCATATCTTCCCCTAGTATATCTAATAAACGGAATCTTCAACAATTTATTACAGCTTATATTCATTATGAAACATGTAGCTAAACTAAATATATTTTATGTAGCCTCTCGTAATTTTTCTCTTATACTTATATAAGCTTTTGTTAACTAAGATCTTAGAGAGTGCTCTGTATAATGTTTTAGTTTTTAGAAATAGAGATATAGATACGGTTGTTCCTATAAAGAAATAGAGATATTTTTACATAGTAACATATGTAGGAGCAAGAAGAACTCCACAATCATCATCTTTCTGAGCCATTAGAATATATCCATCATTGCCCCAGTAATTCGACCAGGAGTTCTTTATCAGCCAATAGCCCTGTCCGTTCATAGTGCCGTATCCAACGGCCAAAACAGCATGATCTAATGTATCCTCTGTATTGCCTTTTGAGAACCCAAGAAAATAATAATTGAGTAAAACAAGTTGTTAAAAATTTTAGAAATTGTAATAAAAGTGTTTAAATCTCATACCACAAGTTTGATCGTAGTACACTCCGTGAGAGTAGAAAGAGAATGTCTTATGAGAAGCATCAATAGCGATAGAAATGGGACCGTGCTTAGCAATGGCAATCTTCAAAGCATCTACACTGCGTGGAGTAACATTGACGAATCCCGTGATCTTAGCCGTCAGCGTTACATTATTTATATGACAGTATCCATCCTAAAAAGAAGGATCATCTTCACATCTTTTGTTTTGTATATTCTACAAGTGATATGAATCAAATAAGTTTCAGAGTTTCCAATAAATGTAATTGAATAATTTACTTGTCCCAAATAACCACCATAATCGTCTTCAGTAGGTAAGCCACCATGCTTCATGATCCATTCATATGAACGGAAATCTTCTCCACCGTCGCATCCATTATTACCAAAACCCCACGAACAATCGATAAGAGCCTGTAATAATCATATTTCAGTATTATTGCCTGTATAATATGTAAACATTAAAAGTTTATTAAATAATATAAGAACTATAATAATCGCGCACACAACAATATAATAAAAATTTGTAAATTCTGATACTGATTATCATTGCTTACCTGTTGGGACAGACTCACTAACTTATTATGTTTCAAAAAATATGCACCTTCTATTGTTCCAGTGGTACCAAAACTCCAACAAGAACCACAAACCGATTGATCTGTTTAAGTAAAATACAATAGACATGTACAATATTATAGTGCATATAATATCAAAGTGCAATATTGTCCATAAATTACAAACCTTTGACTGGTGTCACAGCACCGTACAACCGCCAATCTATACTGTCAGGAACATCTGCAAGTTCCTTCTTGATATCATGCGGGAATGGTGCTCCACCATTGTAACCCGGAGTATATTGTTTGCCTCGTAAAGCTTTTAATTCGAGATCACTGTGATCTGTCAAATGATTTACCTTTAACTGATAGCCCAAATTGGCGCGGTTTATAGAATGGATAAATCTGAAAATTTGTGCATAAAATAACAACAATCCTTACAATATATATGTGTATTCTCTCTGACAAAACTGTACCTTATATTTTGTCTAAATAAGTCTTTGCGGTACATGTGATCCAAGCCATTCTTGTAATCTTTCTGATGGGTCTTTTTGAATGTATCAAATGCTTCATCCAAATGATTCTCATAATTATGAATGAATTCACGCATTGGATTAAAAGTGTATATGTGTTTTTCACCTGGACCTGGGAAGCCAATGCATGTTTCATCTGCAAATAATAAAAGTCTCTTGTAACCAAATTTGATCTAAAAATAATATTATTCTAACATTAAAAAAAAATCCTTCATATCTAGGCAAATTATTTTAAAAATCAGGTATTTTACGTACTTTCTGTAATTTTAAAGACATCAGCAGAAGGTTTATCAAAGGAATACCAATCATACTCCAAGTAATAATGATCATAATGCGAGCCTAAGAGACTATTAAATCCTCTCATTTCATATCTTACAGGAATGGGCTCCTTAACTTCCGGTAGATATTGTGATTTCTGCAAAGACAATTCTTCCCTTTATACAGAGATATTATCCTATTGTACATACAAATAATTCAATTCCTACCTTATAACGTATCCAGAGTGTATATTTATTCGTCTTCTCTTCAATTTGTTGTACAAGTCGCCATTTCTCACATAACAATCCATTGATCATCTCTTCGCCAATGCACTATATATCAATTCCATTTTATTAAATTCTACTATCATTATATTAATTATATAAAAAGCATGTTAAATACATACTTTTTGTACATATTTCTAAAATTGTTTATTGTATTTACAAGTATTTTTTTTTACCTCCATTTCCGAGGGATCTGGAATAATAGATTGTGGTTGTATCTTCATATCAATAGTGCCATTTACTTGAAGACATGTATCTTCATTAGTAACAGTTTCGGTGGTAATAGGTGCTATTTTTATGCTGGCTCCATATTGCCCTTTACTCGTCAGTTGAAAAGTCTTAACCATTCCTATTGAATAAAGAACAATAGATTTATGTACACTGCTCATACATTATATATGCTATATATAACATAGTCTGTATTTAAATTAAAAATAGATAAAAACTAAATAAAAATATGCTACTGTCTTAAAAAATACCTCCATAGTAATCAATCCGACTAGATCCGCTGTTGCCATCATACCATGCGTAGAAAGGCTCCCGAATCTCTGCATATGGTATATACAAAGTTCCTTTTACCGTATATGTTCTGCTAAATGTTGGTGCTGTTAAAATTTTCTCGGAAAATGCTGCTGCATAACATATCCCTATATAAAATTAAAAAATATATTAAAGATAATATTGTCTTTGTGTTTCTGAAATACACAATGAAAGGAACATTTATTTTATATTCATTTATTTATACACTATATCTATTTATACACGCAGTTATCATTCTGATAACACAGCTGATCTAGTAGGATTATATTGATTGATGGATGGATACATGTATACATTAATCAAATTAATGTGCATACTATTGCATTTTTCTTATCTAAAAAGAGACAATAGAAAAAAGACACAATGGATATTTGCAACAATATATTATGATATTATGATATTATCAAACTAACAAATAATATTTATCATGAAAGAAAAAAAGACAGTAACCTGATTGATAGATGGATACATATGTATACATTAATCAAATTTATACTATTGCATTTTTCTTATCCAAAAAGAGACAATAGAAAAAAGACAATGGATATTTGCAACAATGGATATTATAAAAATAACAAACAATATTTACCATGAAAGGAAAAAAAATAGTAATCTAATTGATTGATGGATGGATACATGTATACATTAATCAAAATTAATGTGCATACTATTGCATTTTTCTTATCTAAAAAGAGATAATAGAAAAAGACACGAAATGGGTATTTGCAACAATGGATATTATTCAAATAATAAATAATATTTATCATGAAAGGATAAGAAAAACAATTATCTGCAAATTTATACTGTATACAGATATGTAAATAAATGTAAAATAAGATGTACATATGTGTGTGTGTGTGTTACGTATTAGTTTCTCAAAAAAATTTACATTGTAAATATAAAAATAGATAAAAACAAAATATCAAAGAATCTCACATAGCTTGAAATTATTTTTTGATTCTTAAAATTAATATTACTGTTGAAAAATTACTGTTTAAAATTCCTATTACTGTTGTAACAATATTCTGATATCAGATTCGATATTAATACATTTAAAAAATAATCGCTTAAAGCTTAAATTATGGACATACATATCCTAAAATTTACCTCAATTGCGACGCAGTGAGATTTGTCTTTCGTTGAGGACACAAGAACAATGGTAAAATGCGATAGAATACGATATCATCTGCTTGCGTTCGCAAAACTTTGAAGAAACTTTCCTTTGTATATGTTTGATGTAAACATGAGAAGCCAGATTGTTAGAACGTGGTTCGTAAATAAGCGAATGGTGTCATATATACATATATCCACAAGTGTAGTTCACATTGCATTTCATAAAGCATAGTTCACATTATCAATTTTTTAATTTTTTGTCCACCTCCAATGGAAATAATCAAGAGTAATAATAATCGCTTGTCATAATTGATTTTTCTCCAAAGTGTTTATCTGTAAGATATAGTTCAACTTGGAGATCATGTGCCATGTCACAGCGTACTAAAGTTATTCAATTATATAAAACGGTAATAAAATATTCTCTGTATATGTCATACATTTTAATAATACATATGTTCAACATGTAGTATCTCATTTTAATGATTAATATGTTTTAGTATTAATTTTATAACAAATTTCAAAATTTAATTTTTTTATTAGTTTTGTTTATGATCTCTTTCTTATTGCGTTTTTTTTTTCAGTTATTGTACATGGGACGGGACTATCCAAAGGGATATCAATATTTCAGGACTAAGCTGAGGAGAGCCTTTGATAAGAACAAAACAGAAACTGATCCTGAAAAAATAGATAAAATGATAGGACACGGTAATTTTGTAATAAAAGAATTAGAAGCTTTATACATGTTGCGCAAGTACAGAACTTTGAAGAGAAGATATTATGACTAATAATAAAGAAAGAAGAAACTTGTATTAGATAATATTGCATAAATACTGTATTAATTGTATACACACTTCTCAATTAATGCAGTATAACTTTCATAAATTAGAATTATTGATTTGTAATGTATATATCTATGTATACACATACAACACACATACTGGTTTTATATATACATATTTGCATACTGTATAATACAGTAATGTACATAAATAAATATTAATTATTATTGCATTATATATTTTTTACTATAATTTCTCCATCAAAAAATAGCATTTTAATTATTTAAACGACTGCACATATACTAGTACAGTTATTCTAACCTAGTATCGTTACTAGTTACGGAATGTTTATCTCCGCGATTATTTTCACCTAAAAATAGTTCAGCAAAAAATGTGTGACATATTATAATAAATCTTTTTTTTTGTGCTTTCCTAGAATCTCCTAAAATGGCTGCTTGCGTAGCTGTAATTGGCAAAGATGCAAGTATATTACGTTCTTTTCGAATTTACAGGTTACGATTGATTAAGACGAACAAAACTTTTTTTTAAATTTAGTGAAATGTGTATATATTCAAATGTATTCTTATAGTGCGTTCCTCTTTAAGCTATAAAGATTGAATTATTCACGATTAATCAATAAATATTTTGCAGAACTCTCCAAAATATATCAAGTGTGCGGATGAAGCCTCTGCCCTGCAATTTCATTATAAAGTGCACACGTCAATTGATATTATAGAAGAAAAACTGAATGTAGGAAATAAAACCACAGTTGATATCCGTGACTTATACTTGGGCTTGTTATTTGCAACTGAAGAATATAAAATGTATGCAACATCGCACAAAGAGTATCACTTTCTATGAAAGATGCAAATTATATATTAAATATACTAACACATTTCTGTTTTTAGATATGGTTATGCGACTAATACAAAAATTAAATTTGTCATAGTATTACAGTCATCCAATGTATCATTAAGGGATAATGAAGTGAAAATGGTAATGCTCTATTTCTTTCTTTTCATATTCTATGTATATGATTTTGATAATTCATTAATCATACTGTGTAATCTTCCTAATACAGATTTTCAAAAAGTTACATGCTGCATACTCCAATGCTGTTTGCAATCCATTTTACATTCCAGGTGATCAAATCATTTCTAAGTAAGTATACTTGCACTTTTCAGTCTATTATATGTATGTTATAATTATAAGTAATGAAGATATATTATACAATCATATATTTAATTTTTTAGGTCATTCAATATGTCAGTGCTGGAAATAATGGGTGTTATATAATATCCTATAAAGATGTTTAAAAAATAATTCATATAATCACAAAACACAAACTTATATAAATTATATAAATACATTATATAAATATTCCGTAATAAATAACTTGATATAATTCTGTAAAATATTAGGAATACTTATTAATTATTTTCTGAATCTCCATATTAACATTTCTTTTTAATTTTCCATATGTTTTCCTCTTATAAATACATATTTATAATTGATTTATAATTTTATTATTGTTGCTGCAAAATTCACACAGCGAAAAGAGAGAGAGAGATTTTATACAGTAATTCCATAAAATTTTTTTCCCTTTTTTCTGATCTTTTATAAGTAGTATTTTTTGATCAATCATAAAAAATTTTATTGTTGACCATGTTTCTCTTTCTTATTTGCTTTCTTACCTGCACTTTATAGCTATCTTTTTTGGATGCATCTCATTTCAATTCATCGATTCATCTGCGTTCAAATCGGGCCATAAAAGGAATTAAATTCAGAATGATATTGTGACGCGCTAAAAAGCAAATCTCGCATTTATACGATGGATATACATGATCTTTCAAGATCTTTTCCGATTGGCCTATTTCTGCATTCGTCATCTTAATCCTGTTTTATAATTCGTTCTTACATCTCGATGTCCACGTTGCAGCGAATCATCGATAAGCAAGGGAGCGAATCGAGTGTTCCATGGAGATGGGTCGAAAGTTAAGTCGCATGGCGGTAGCTGTCTGAACCGTGAATGATTACGAACATTCACGAACATTTGCCGTGGTGTCTGTTCATTTGAAGAGCGTACGACGATCCTTCTCGTTTTCATACGAATTTGTGTGATTTGCAAAAAAATACCGACATTGATTTACAATGGTAAGTAAGGCACGCAGTCTCGTAATCTTTCTCGCCTGAAAATTGGAGTGAACGTTAGCAAATGCCTCGATCGGTGAAGAACCCGGTCTCCTGAAAGCATGACAAATGGCGCATGTATTTTGTCGAAATAGCAGAAAGACTTATACGCGATAATTTCAACTATATTACAATGTTGTATGATGTGATATTCAGGAATTGAGATTTTAAGCTTTTTAAAAACAATTGCCTATAAATAAATTATTTACCAAATTGTTTGTTTCAAGGTCTCCTTGAATCCTGTGAGGATCCTAAAAAATGAAGCCGGAGAAGAAAAGGCAGAGATTGCTAGATTGAGCTCATTCATTGGAGCTATAGCCATTGGAGATCTAGTGAAATCTACCCTTGGTCCTAAGGGTATGGACAAGATACTTATATCTCATGGAAGATCTGCAGGGCAAGTGCAAGTTACTAATGATGCGTCGGTGTTGATAATCCCGCTGCCAAAATTTTAGTAGACATGTCTCGTGTCCAAGACGATGAAGTAGGAGATGGCACTACTTCGGTCACTGTTCTTGGTACATACAATATTATTTATTTGAATTTAGCATTAATTTTAAACATTGCTTGATTTTCTTTTGTGCCTTCTTGCAGCTGCTGAACTCTTGCGAGAAGCGGAGAAATTGATTGAAAACCAAAAAATTCATCCGCAGACTATTATTGGCGGTTGGAGAAATGCTACTAATGTTGCAACAGAAGCTCTGATTAATGCATCAGCAAATAACTCGGCGGATCCTGAACGTTTCCGCGAAGATTTACTGAACATCGCTCGTACAACGTTAAGCTCCAAGATCTTATCACAACATAAGGAACATTTCAGCAAGCTCGCGGTTGACGCGGTATTACGCCTTAAAGGTTCCGGTAACTTGTCCGCTATTCAAGTCATAAAGAAACGTGGGGCGACGCTTGCTGATTCCTTCTTGGACGAAGGATTCCTGTTGGATAAGAAGCCTGGTGTTCATCAACCACAAAAAGTTAGCGATGCACGCATACTTATCGCTAATACATCTATGGATACAGACAAAATCAAGGTTTATATTTTTATTATATATATACATATAATATTTTTCTCAATTATCTAAATGACTAATGCTACATACATCTTTGTTTGAAGGTATTTGGTTCCAGAGTTCGTGTGGATTCAATGGCAAAGATTGCAGAATTGGAAGCTGCGGAAAAAGAAAAGATGAAGGTAAACTTTGTCCAATTTTTTTCATGCATATTCCTAAACTTGTAATCAATGTGTGCAATAAATTTCTACGTTCCATTTTAGGATAAGATTGACAAGATCTTGAAGCATGGATCCAACGTTTTCATCAATAGACAGTTGATTTACAATTATCCAGAACAATTGTTCGCCGACGCCGGAATTATGGCCATTGAGCATGCAGATTTCGACGGTATCGAAAGATTAGCACTCGTTACCGGTGGTGAAATAGTCAGCACCTTTGACAATCCAGATTTAGTCAAGCTTGGAAAATGCGATCTTATTGAGCAAGTAAGCTGATCACTAATTTTTTTTTTTTCCTTGCAATTCGATATGGTATATGTTTCAAACATCCGCGATACAACACTCTGTCGACGATTATAAATTACATTATAATTTAATTTTTTGATATATTATACATTTACATTAATATACATTATTATATAATTAACAGATAACAGTAACACGATACACACACATATATAAATTATATATATTATATATTTAATCGATATATTACATATAGTTTATGATACATAGGTCATGATAGGGGAAGATACACTCCTGAGATTCTCCGGAGTTCCATTAGGTGAAGCGTGCACCGTTGTTATCCGCGGCGCGACCCAGCAGATCATCGATGAGGCTGAGAGATCGTTGCACGATGCACTCTGCGTTTTGGCCGCCACAGTGCGCGAGTCGAGGATAGTCTATGGCGGCGGATGCAGCGAGATGATCATGGCTTGTGCCGTTATGCGAGCGGCCGCTTCCACGCCGGGCAAAGAGGCGGTCGCGATGGAGGCGTTTGCACGAGCGTTGACGCAATTGCCGACCGTTATTGCTGACAATGCTGGCTATGACTCTGCGCAACTGATTAGCGAGCTGAGAGCTACGCATAATTCCGGCGGTAGCACCATGGGATTAGGCAAGTTTTTAACTGTTTCCATAATTACTATGTTTATCAGTTACAGATACTTTTATGATATACATATAATACATTATTGCATGTGTGTATGTGTGGATAGTTTTCATGACAGGATGTACTAAACTAAATTTATCTTATGATCTTGCAGACATGGAATTGGGTAAAATTGGTTGCATGAAGCGCCTAGGAATCACCGAATCTTGGGTAGTAAAAAGACAAGTTCTTGTAAGCGCAGCCGAAGCAGCGGAAATGATACTGCGTGTGGATGATATTTTGCGCGCGGCTCCGAGGAAACGCACTCAAGATAGAGGACGTTGTTAATCGTTATTTAAATAAAGATCTTTTACCTCTGCTTCGATTTTGCGATACTGTCACATGCTATTACAATTATTTTTTCATGCAACCTCTAAAATTAACATGTTTAATTAATAAGATATCATTATTGAAGTATTATTTCATTGCACATTAGTTTCTCTTGTCCATGATACTATGTGAGATTTGATACTATTAATGTACTAATTATCACAGTAAGCAAAATAAACCATCCACATTGCTTTGAATGTTGTTATATTGTGTTATATTTCTATAAGAATAGTATTCTATTTCTCCCAATTTCTCAAACGATATATTAATGATAAGCAGACCGTCTCTATGTTCAGAATTTTTTATAACAATACAATAGGTTCAACATTAATAAATCCTTTATTTTGGAAAATATTTTTATACTATTATAAATATTAATACAATATTATAATATTGTTATTATAATATTACAATATTAGAAATATTTATACAATATTTTGTATTGAATATTCTACACTAATAATATACTTTAGTCACACCTATTTTTATACACTATTTTATAATAATATATAAAATATAGGATTGAATAAATTATATTTTAATCATACAGAAAAAGTTTATTCCGTGCAAAATTTGATTTTTTGCTGTTTATTTTTAAATCCTATGGATTCTGTTTGCTAATCATAGTCTTATGGATGAAAAAGAAAAGATAAAAACTTTTTGGGTTTCTTTTTTGTATAACTTTATATGGATAGATATTTATAATACGGTTGTAGTTTGTTGATAAATTTATAACATTTATACACTAATTACACAATACTGTTTGAGTTGTCCTTACAAATAAGTTTTAATGGAAAGTTGGCAGATAAATTTTTGATTGACATTGAATCATTCAATATCCATTATAATTAATATAAAGCGGACTATATACATTTAGTCAAACATCAGAAACTTACCGCTGACTTTATTGAAGTACTAAAAGCAAAGCAAATATTTGCCAGATGTAAACTTTCTACAAAGCTCTGTGTGACAAATCAATTAATATGCGAATCGTAATTTAGTATCATAACCAAGTTTTTCGAGATTAGGAATGCAAGCAGAATTAATCATCGGAGGTGGACCGCACATCAGTACAATGGTATCTGACGATGGCGGGAACATATGTTTCTCTATCATATCAGTGTTGATATATCCTGTGCTGTAAAACCATCCCTCGCTACTTGTATCTAGTGTGTACCAAAGTTTTAATTTATTTGGGTGTTTTTCGGCAATATCGTCTAGTTCGTCTCGTAGCAAGATATCTTTCTCAGTCTGATTGGCGAACAGCAAGGAAGTTTGAGTTTCGTCTGTGGGATCCTTTATTATCGCACGGATTAACTGCAACATTGGTGTAATGCCTGTACCACCAGCGAGCATGACAATCTATATAAAGAGAAATATGTAGATTTTTTTATATTCCTTTAAGAAATATATAGAGTTACTCTTAATAATAATAACAAAAACACAAGTTTATATAACAATAATCGTATTTAATATATGTATTTGCCTTTTTAACATTATATTCCATAGGTGGTTCTTTCCTATAAATTTTTATAGAGATCTTTCCATTTCCTTTGTAAACCAATCTACCAGATGGACCTCTAAAGTCAATGGTGTCTCCTATTTCCATGTTCTCCAAATATTGAGACAATTTTCCCCCCTCTGGAAATTTTGGATGCACATTCTTAAAATACACCTGAAAAACATGTATGATTAAAAAAATACATCTTATTATTATTTTCTTATACTATAAT